GTTTCGCTCGGTCGGTTTACACTCGTTCAGCTCTAGTTCGGTCACGTTCGCAACATGCGAGAAACGAATGGAGGGTGTGCAACCATAGAAGCAAATCTAAGACTGGTAGGTCCTGAAAAAACGTACTCAACTTTTTGGCTCAGCTCTGGTACTATCTTCGGTCAAAAGCTAATCGATGCACCCCTCGAAACATCAGAAAATCCACGAACCCCTCATTTTATCTGTCAAACTTTCATATCGAATCAAAACCAAACATTGTGTAATACTAGAATTTCGTCTAGAATGGGGTACGTTAATCGATTTGCTTTTGACCAATAGGCTAGTCAAGTAGTGAGCCAATTTAAAATCGTTAGCTGCCACCAGTCCAACTGTCATCTTTCGGTTCGGTTTATAGATTCTGAACAAAGTATGAACGCATTCAAGCCCATCACTGCCTCTTATGAGGTTTCGGACAGTGCATTTTCGTGCTATTCGAACGCATCTTTACAGTCTATTTTTGACTATTTCAAGGTTTTAGAACTTTTAATATAGTAGGATCTTAGTAATCTGGACAAATCAAAGTAGCATTGTTAAACCTTAATTATAAATAACGTGTATCAGATAAAGCATTATCGTTTGGAACACCGAAGAATGAAGACCTGTTTTACTACTCTACATTTGGCGACGATTGGAAAATTGGAAGACTCGGAAGATAGGAAATTCGAATACAATGGCCTGGCCAATGGTAAGATTCGGTAATATTCAAACAAACTCTGATACAATGGGCCACAAGGTAGTTTCTTGATGCTATTCGGAGGACCGGATGTCCGGAAGATAATCTTCAAGATACAAGCCGACGAGGAACATGTTCTTGGAAACCGGTACAACGTGGCGATGCAGTTCCTCGATGAATACTTCGTTCCTCGAGTTTCGAAGACATACGAAAGGCAGAAGTTTCGTCAGATGACCCCCGGTCCGAATGAGAAACTTGATACATTTGTTGCGACCTTTAATACCAAGTTCTACGTGATTCTTGGAGGTAAATGTTCACTCCTCTTGGGAACTACGGCAATTAAGCTCGGATTGGTGAAATTCCTTTACAAAGTTGGCAACGAAGCATTTCCGTGCATAATCGAGGCAACACGATTAAATGGATACACGTTTCCAGATAAACAACAAGAATCTACCTCTTCAATAAACCATAAGCGCCAGCATGACGGAATAGTTAAGCGTAAACCAGTTTTCTTAGATGATTATGAATTATACTTTTAATACCAATTTAATATATATATTAATCCATAATATTAAGGAAAAGGAGAGGTGTAGGATCTTAGTAATCTGGCCTTGATAAACTGTAATAATAAATAACGTGTATCAGATAAAGCATTATCGGTTGCAACACCGAAGTATGAAGACCTGTTTTACTACTCTACAAATTTACATTTGAAAATGCTCTTTACAATTGTCATTCAGCACCTGCAATCGGTATTCAATAGGTTGTAGTTGCGTACAAGTTGAATTGGGTAATTCTCGACGAAAATCAAGATTTAAGTATAGAATTGATGTCAAATTAGGCCAAAACAAAAAGAAAACTGTTGTGTTTTCTTCGCAGTCTTTTTCATCGATGCTAAAGCTACTAAGATCATAAAACAACTTCAAACAATATTGAACGCTGTTTACAAAAAGTGCAAAAAACCTGTTTTGTCACACTGTCCAACATTAATAAGAAGGCCAAAATCTAATATCATCAATAGCTGATTAATCTTTTTTCACTTAAGAATATTTTTTTATGGATTTGAAAAGATAAACTTTCTTACAACATTGCATTTTCGATACAGTCCTTAGCCCAAGGAGGATAATCACAGGTGGGCTGAATCTCACGGTCCGCTAGTGTTGGTGAGTTATTTGCCGTTAACTTTCATGAAAAGTTAACTATTTTGCCATAAACAGTGCCAAAACAAAAAAGTTTACTGGCGGATTTGGACATATTTGGACCTGTTTCATACGACCGGAAGTTGTATTAAATTGCCTTGCCAAATTGAGTTCCTACGCAAGTGATGTGAATTTCGCGAATAAACACGAGGAGTGTTGATTATAGCAACAATTTCCATATACAATCGTCTTAGTTCATGTTCAGTAAACAAACTAACACTTCTTTCTTCTGTGGCACCTTTGATTATCCGCCTTGAGTCTGGTCGTTATCAGACATGGAAAATCATTTGCATTCATTTCGTGCATTCATTTACATTCATTTGCCTCTAACTTTTTTCTTCAACAGCTTTCCGCAAAATGATGTATAGAGCTTTTGTAGGTTTTGTTATTGGCTACAACTTTTGTTAACTACTCAAATCCGTTTCTCTTATGCATGACGAACCAGAGCGAACAGAAGCCACTACTGTTTTTCAGTGAATGTATTTTACATTCACTGAAAAACAGTAACAAGTTCTGCCCGCTCTAGTTCATGATGCATAAGAGATACAGATTTGAGTTATGAACAAAAGTTGTAGCTAATAACAAAACCTACAAAAGTTCTATAAATTATTTTACGGAATGCTGTTGATGAAAAAAGTTAGAGGCAAATGAATGTAAATGAATGTATGAAATGAATGCAAATGATTTTCCATGCCTGGTCGTTATTGATGCATTGGTAAACATTGCAAATTAGATAGAATTAGGCAAATTTTGTAACAAATGCAGAAACTGTCTAATTATTCAATAAACGACGTGTAAATATTAACATGATTGACAAATATCAGGTAATCATGACATTTTGATCTTTGAAAACAACGCGCATGAGAAAAAGAGACCTACTGCGTCAGGATCTGTCATGATTACCTGAGTTGGGTCAAAAAATCGTAAATATTTACGCTGTATGCAGTGAATAATGCATTGAGATACAGTCAACTTTCGCTGGTTGGGCTAAATCCATAGCCCACTTAGTGAAAGACTTTCGTTAGTTTTCGATTACTTTTTCGAAAGGATGTATCAGCTTTTGTAAACAATGCAGTTGCTCGTCGGTTTGGCGTAACTGGTAGCTCACCCACGCATACTAACACCACTAACAGGTAGGGGAAAACTATCCCTATCTAATGGTAATGTTAACATGCGTGGGCGAGCTACCAGTTACGCCAAATTGACGATCAAATGCATTGTTTACAAAAGCTTATACGTCACTTCGAAAAAGCAATCGAGAATTGGGCTAAGCTGTCAATGCTGAAAATTGGTGGAGGGGTACACCAATTGTTTAATACAGTATCCGTCCACTTATCCGGTACTCGGTAATCCGATGATTCGATAATCCGGACCAGGGCCCCACCAAGTCACTTTCAATCGAAAATCGTCAAGTGACGATGAAGCCGTCAACCATCACTTTCGATTGAAAGTCATTCTATCTTATCTTCGAGCAGATCCCCGTCAACATCAACAGAACCACTTTTGATCAGTTTTCATGCTGTTTGTTTCGCCTTGACTAGTCTGCATTTCTTCTTTCATTGTCAGATGAACTTACTTTTGCATTGAAGCGAAGCTGTTCGATCCGGATTCGTGCAGTTTTTATGACTTTTGTTGATTGTTCACTTGGTTCATTTAAGCGTATGCGAATAGATCTGTGCACATGGATGTCAAATTTATCATTGTCGGGAGATTTGTTTACCCATCAATATGGATATTTTTTGAATCGGGGTGACGCCTAGAGATCGAAAATTGATATTCCGAGCGAAAGGTATATCTCGATACCTTAAATTGGTATGGATAAGCCTGACATAAGAGGTAAAATTACCAAAAAATAATACAAAAAAATGTTCCCAAGTACCATTTCAATGCCAAATTATGATAATACAATACCAAAACAATTCCACACAGGTGTTCTTTTGGTATCCAAATATCAATTTTTGTTATTTACACAGTATTTTGCCTGTAATTTTTTGGTATTTTACCTCTTATGTCATGCTGATCAATACCAAATTTTGGTATCAGGTCAGAATTAGTTATCCATTAGTTATCTTCTCCTGCTCGAGATGCGACGCCATTTTGAAATCCAAGGTGGCGGCTTCCGATTTCAGAACAAGTGGGAAATATTGTCAAATACCCATCAATATTTGGAATGGCGTCTAGAGGCCGGTAATCAATGTTCGACGCCATTTTGAGATCCAATGGCGGCTTCCAATTTCAGAAAAAAATGGAAAATGCTGATGCCGTCCCATGAATATGGGTATTTTCGGAATCGGGGTGAGATTGGAAATCAATATCCGACGCCATTTTGAAATCCAAGACGACGGCTTCCGATTTGCGGAAAAGTGTCAAATATCCTGGTTATTTTTAGAATGGGGATGAGACGTAGATGCTGAAAATTGATGTGACTCAGTCTTTAAATCCAATACGGCGACTTTGGTTAAGAAAAACTGTGAAATACTGTCGAACACCGATCAATGAGGGTTTTTTTTTATCGGGGTGACATCTAGAATCCAGAATTCGATGTCCGACGCCATCTTGAACTTGAAGATGGTGGCTTCCGGTTTCAGAAGAAGTATCAAATAGTCTACAAATGGCTTCGACTATCGATTTTCAGCATCTACGCGTCGTCCCGTTCCGAAAAATTCCCAGATCTTAGGGTATTTGACACTTTTTGTGAAACCCGATGGCCACCATATTGGATTCCAAAATGGCATCGAATATCGATTTTCGGCATCTACACGTTGTCCCAATTCCGAAAATACACATATTGTAGGGTATTTGACACTTTTTGAACCCTGATGGCCGCCATATTGGATTCCAAAATGGTATCTGATATCGATTTTCGGCATCCACGCATTGTCCCCGTTCCGAAAATAACCATATTGTAGGGTATTTGATTCTTTTGTCTGAAACCCTACGGCCGCCATATTGGAGTCCAACATAGCGTATAGGATTTTGATTTTCGGCAGCCACGCGTTGTCCCGTTCCAATAATACCCATATCTTAGGTTATTTGACACGTTTTACGAAACTTGACAAAAATGGCGTCGAATGTCGATTTTCGGTATCTACGTCTCGTCCCCGTTCCGAAAATACCGATATTGTAGGATATTTGACACTTTCTGAATTCTGATGGCCGCCATATTAGATTAAAACATGGCAACGGGTATCGATTCCGACATCTGCGCGTTGTCCCTGTTCCGAAAATACCCATATATTAGGGTATTTGGCACTTCATAAAACCAATGGCCACCATTTTGGATTCCAAAATGGCGTCAAATATCGATTCTTCGTTCCGAAAATACCCATATTGTAGGGTATTTGAGACTTATCTTGATCCCGATGGCCACCATCTTGAATTCCAGAATGGCCTCGTTAATTTAATATTCGTTTAAAATAAAATAATATATTATTACTACATATAATCCGGATGTCATCCCTATCGGTAACGGATATTGTGCGGATACTATCCGGATACTATATTTTGATGCCTGGCAATTTGAATCAGCCCGAATTGAAGTGAAAGTGGAAAAAACGAAGGAAGCAGTTTTCGAGTCATTCATGGTGTCAATTTAAACAAGTCTTTGCTTCAAATGAAATGAACTGAAGCACTTGACGAACGAAACAAGCGATAGTCCAGTCATGTTTGAAGAGAGGAATGTTCATCGTGACTCGATAACAAGAATCACGATAATTAAACACGAAAATGATATTGCTCGAAATGAAGCGATTCTACGGAGAATTAATTTTCTTTTCTTTGTTTCGAAAATGCAGAACCCTGATCCGGACCCCGGTAATCCGGAAAATGTCGGATTAAAAAATATAAACACGCGTTTGAATACATTATTGCACAATGCTCCCAAGGCCGTATTTAACCATCCCTTTTAGGTATATGGTGTCTTGGGGAAAGTTTCGTCATATTGTTTGGCCAATCTTTTTATGTTAGTGAAATTAGGGTGGTTCATAAAATTTGTGAATTGAAAATACAAACTTTTTTATTATTTGAGATAGACCAGTGCAATGTTCAAGAAAGTTGTAGAACAATCAATTCGAAGCATCTTTGCTAAATTTACCAAGTTTCTATCTCTTATAGTTCATGAGTTATGATTTTTTTAAACAAGCAGATAAGGTTGGGCCCTAAAAAATCCGTTTTCTTTGAATTTCTTTCCATACGTTCATTTCTCGTAAAAACGTTGCTGTGGACACTTTTAGAACTGACGCATGTTTTTGCTGAAGCAACTAAGTTATTATCTCTTTTATTTATAACATGTAGGGCCGTTTTTGCTGGAAAATAGACCTTTTTTTAAATAAAATTTAACGCCTTGAAATTTTTTGTTCAGCTCTCGCAGTTTTTTCACCAAGAATGAAGAAAAATGATCTTTCAAATGGAATTAAAAGTTGAAAATCGGTTTGCTCTGGTTTAGAGATATTGTTAATTGAAAAGAGCCATTTTTTCGAAGAAAATATCCTTTAATTGTCTAATCAAAAAAGATAGCAACCTGGTTTCTTAAGCAAAAATATGCGTCATCAAAAGTTCTAAATGTGTCCACAACTACGTGTTTACGAGAAATGAACGTAAGAAAAGATATTCAAAGGAAACTGTTTTTTTATGGGTCACCACCTGCTTGTTTAATAAAATCATAACTTATGAACCATAAGAGATAGATATTTAGTGTCTTGCGCAAAGTTGCTTCAAACTAATTGTTCTACAACATTTTGCAACACTGTATTGGTCTATCTTAAATAATAACAAAAATGTATTTTCAATTCATCAATTTTATGAACCACCTCAATTTCACTAACATAAAAAGATCTACAAAAAAAAAATGAAAAAACTTTCCCGAAGACACTATATACCTAAAACTGACGGTTTGGGCGCAAATATTTGTGTTTTCCTAAATACGGCTTTGGGACCGTTATGCATTGGGCTATCAATTTTTGTGCTGTAAGCATGCTGTCTGTTTGTTTTGATTTCTAAGTATGGATTTGACAATCGAATTAACGACTCAAACCCCGATGATGTTGTCGGATGAGTGGGGGGATACTGTATCATCAAAATCGTTTAGCAAATACCCAAGTGATTCCTCCATGAGCTCCTTGAAAAGGAATCATCACTGTCAGAAATGACGTTTGACTTCTATTTAGGTGGGCTACAAAACAAATTCCAACGAGCGAATTCGACTGCACATAGTTTTAAATTAACCTTCTCTATATCGTTCTGGCCACCTGAACAGAATACAGCAAAGTCTCCCTTACCCGATATTCACGGGACCATTGATTTGGGAAGGATACTTAACATCAGGCAAAAATTACCGATAACCTCAAAACATGTCATACAAATAGTCCACAGCATCCACTAAAAAATTACACCGATGCAAACTTGTGAAAACCTGTGTAGTGGTTTCATTCCGGTGTCGTTAAGCCGCTCGATGCTCCGACGATGACACAGAAAACAATTAAGATTAGACGCTCAAGTTAGTTGCTGTGCAAAATCGGATAATCCTTTCGTTTACTGCACCGCGTAATAGGTCTGTCCCTGGTCTGGTTTTATTACCCCCCCTCCCTAAATGATCTTAATGTTCGTTATGCTAAATTGTGTACGATTGTTTCTTTCAACATTCCACAATCGCCGTCATCTTAACATCTTAACAAAAAAAAATGGCGGTGATTGAGGGAATTCCAAATATCGTACAAAATTAATCACACATTCCCAAAATTCGGTACGTCCCAGGCCTATCGTGGCTAGTAGCCCTTATGCATGCTCACTGTCGCATTCTTTCAATTTAGTTCATGTGCTCTACCGGAACAGAGCGGACCGCTTATCGCTGCTTAAAACCTATTCCAACGCAGTGATGCTGCTTGCTGCTGCCGCTAGAGGGAGTTGAAGAACGTTAATTGATGTCTTCCCACCGACTCCTCCTCTATCTCATGCTACCGCCGGCGGCGGTGATGGTGGTGATGTTGGTGCTAGTGGACGCGAGTGACGAATATGTAGAGGACAGCGACATACTGTTGTTGCCGGTGGCATCGGATAGATTATTTACAAGCGATGCCGACGGAGTGATTTCGGTAATGGCCGTCGCGACGGAATTGTTGCGCTCCAGTGTGGTCGTAATGGGATTGACATCTCCACGTGGACCGGTAATGGTGGAGATCTCGTCCGCGTCCGTTGTCGCTGCTGTCGTCGTCGTTGTCGTCGTTGTCGCCGTGGCAGCATTCGGACTCGCTCCCGAAGTGGTCGCCGTTGACATAGAGTTGGACGACTGCGAGGAGGAGTTTAGTAGGTAGATCATCACCGTATGCTAGCATTTTGGTTGGAATGTTTTCCGGTTGGGGAGCAGGCAGAGGATGCTGAGGGCCATCACCATGTGCCAGATCGAGTGGACGATGTGGTAGTTTTGTTTGGTCTGCAGGAAGGCGTAGCAGACGAGACCGACCATCACGAGGACGCTGCCGATCGGTAGGTAGACGGCTAGGTAACCTCGTGAAGGGAAACACTTTTTCGTTTTGCGGCAACGAAGGCCCCAGCTCACGGAGATTAGGCAGATTCCCGTCAGAGCAGGGGCAAGGAACACCCAAAGGGACTGTTTGTTCAGTTCGGTTCCGAAGGCGAGGAGGATCGCTCCCAGCATGTGTAGCAGAGAGACGAACTGGTGCCGCACGTTGGACATCGCTATCAGTGTGACCCAGATCGCCAGCAGTCCACAGTAGAAATCACAGAACTGCAGGACTCCGATCTTGACGAGGCAGAAGCTGAATTCTTCCTCGCCTGAATCGCAGGCATGGTAGAACGTCGAAAAGAACATGGCGAAAAAGTAGATTATCGATTCCGTGTAGTAGCCTCGTTTGACGGCGAAGAAAATACTCGGTAGAAACAGTAGATTTGATAGGGTTAGCATGAGAGAGGCCAGGAGGATCGATGCACTGGACGGAACTTGGCTGTCCTCTGTACAATCCCAACCGCGATAATTTCTCAGGCATAGACATGTAGAGAAAACGAATCCCCCGGACATGTAGTGGTAGCACCGACCGAATCTTCCACACCGTCCAGCCACGCAAGGACTCGATGATATGGTGAAAACTACGCTCCCGTTACAGCTGGCATCAGCCGCTACGCTCTGCTCTGTAGCATATTTGTGATGAACCTCGAATTTTTTAGTCATTTCATCGGATAGATCGGTACACTTCGCATCCATAATGCATTCCTTGATCTTCAACGTTTCCGTCTCATTCATTTTAGCCAAGCAACCTTCGTCCCCCAGACATTCCTTGTAGTATTTTGCGAGTTCAGCGCAAGAACAGGGTTGTTTCATATCCAGCAAGGTCTCTCGGTACTTCTTGATAAACTCCTTCACACTATCGATGATCGTCACCCTGGCAGCCGTTTCCGCTCCGTGACAGAAGATTCCGAGAGTCACATACCATTTACCAGGTTCCGGGAATGGAATGTGCACCAACCCAGTACTCGTGTCCGAATCCGTATTGTTTATTATAATAGCTGCTGGGAAAATATGCCTCCCGTAGACACACTTATCCGGCCAAGTTGGAATACCCGGTTCTCCCTGTCGCATGCAGACAATCACCGTCTGATTACTTCGGTTAGCATCTTTTGCATTGGTAGTGGGTGCAGCCGTCGTGCTGGTCGTCGTAGTTGTTTCCTCCACAAAGTTCTCCTGCACGTCGATCAACTTCTCGGCAACCACCCCGACGTGATCGTTACTATTCGCCTGATGCGCATCGATCAGAATACTTTTCATATCCTGTCGCATGGCGACCGCAAAGCTCAACGTTCCTCCTATGTCGTACACATCGTTTACGTCGAATTTCATCAACGCTGGAGTCCCCGCACTCAAGTTCAACGTCAACGGTACTGTCCCGTTTATATCCGGCAGAAGGTCGTAATCGAACATGAAGAACTCCCGATAGGTTTGTCGCAGCAACGGGTACTGTTCGAAACCTCTCCGCAGCAAAGTTTTCTCCATTGTCTGTTTCCCACTTTCATCCATAGGATCCTCTTTATGCTCTTCCCCTGACGATTCCTCCGGCAGCGATTCAAACTCAATTTCCACCACAAATTCCAGCTCCAAAACCTTCGTTTCACCGGTTGACCTATTGGAATAGCCCTCGTCGGAATCATTTAAAAAGTCCAAATCCACATAGTGCCACGCACTCTCCTGTGGATAGAAATCGATGCTGATGTCGCTGGTCTGGTTGGGACACAGAATGGCATTCTGCAGGTAGTCCTTGTGCGTTGGTAGTGCGTGCGCTTGGACGAAGAAGCTAACGTCGCTGCAGTCGTTGCAAGGTCGCGTGATCTGCAGCCGCCACGTTACCAGCGATACCTCACTGGGGACGAAAAATTTGTAACTCTTGGGCTCGGTTTGGTTGGTGCTCAGTACATCCCGGTGCGACGTCTGAGCGTTCAGGATGGTCGGGCTGATGCGCGTGACGGACATCTCCGACATGAGCAGCGTCTCACAGGACGGGGCGAGGCCTGCGAAAGGGAAGAATTGAAAGGATAGTTAATTTCTTGTGACGAGTTTCTGTGCGGCGAGTGAGGTGACAGCTGTCACTGTGACGTGTGACGTGACTCTCCGTTTGATTTGCAAGGTCACTTCAAAAGTGATATAGTGATTAAACAATGAATTTTTGAATCGATCTTCTACGATTTGTATGAAAATTTTACAAGATCCAAAATGGCCGAATTTTGGCAAAAATTTGAATTTACCGAAATTCGGCCATTTTGGATCTTGTAAAATTTTTGAAATTTATAAAAGTGTTGAAACGGCATTTCTGATCGAAATGATGTCTGAGACAAAGTTGTAGAGAAAAATAATGGATTTTTTAATTATTTAAGTAAACATTAAAAAAAGTTAATAACCCATTTTTTTTCAAACTTTATAAAAAAAAAACAAAATGACGCTGCTTAATTTTTGAATTTTTTTTTAAATAGCTCATGAAAAATGCAATCGTTTGGAATGTACATATTTACACAAAACCATGGACAACTCCCAATAAGTCGATATTTCTACAAGTCGATGCCTCCTGCTTTGGTCGATGATCTATGTGTTATTTTGATTCTATAACTTGATATGTCAAAGGTCTGAATTCTGTGATGATGATGTTAAAATCAAAAGAAAAAAACATGATAACTTGTAGTTATTTATATTGATTACCCAGGACCCATCGATGACATCAGAAAATGTTCATGGTATTTCGGTGAAATGGTCCGTACCTTTTTATTTATTTGTTTATTTGTATATTGAAAAAATCAACTGAAAATTATTGTCTAAATGAATAAAACTTCAACTAAATAGTTACGGTCAACGGTACGGAAAAGGCCAAGTAACCGATGAAGAAACACGTCAGCTGATACATTGAAGTCGAACATATAAAAGAAGTTGTTGAATTACCGGGTGTTGGCTCGAATTGGCTCGTGTTGTGTATAATTTCGGCGCCGTGGTTCCAAAAACAGAAAGTCGCGTTGACGAAGAGGCCTCTCAGGGGCATACATATTCAGCTGAGCCAGCAGTGTTGGACAGTCAATGTCACCCGTAAGCAGCTTTCCAGCGAACATAGCTTGAGGGACCGTCCGTCTCACCTCTAATGGTTCGATTCCCAGGAGACGGCAACGCTCCTCGTAAGGTGGCAAGTTTGTTGGGTCACGCCAGTTGAGGAAACGAAGAGCATATCTAGACCAACAATTGAAATAGGCGGAACAACCAAACGTAAACAATGGCTTTAAACGCAAATCCCTCGAGAATCAAAGTACATCCAAGCAATCTAGCACCGTCATCTGATAGAGCAAACTTCCTTTATCGAATGGCATTGTTAGTTTGCGTGGGAGTGTTTTGATTCTTGATAATTTTGTGTTTAAAGCCATTGTTTACGTTTGATTGTTCCGCCTATTTCAATCGTTGGTCTAGATATATCACAAACTTGCGTTGAACGGATTCGATTCTAGTGATCCAGCTAGCATTGAAAGGGCACCAAACAACTAAACTTGACTCCAATAAGGATCGCACAAGCGAGCAGTAGAGTGACCTGAGGTATAGCGGGTCACGGAATTCGTAGGCAATATTGAAAATAAAGCCCACTTGTCGATTAGCTCTGGAGATGATGTCATGGTAGTGGATTCTGAAAGTGCGTCTGCAGTCCAAGGTAACGCCGAGATCCTTTATGTGCTCTACACGAACAAGACAGCGTCCGTAAGAGAACATAGTCAAACATGATTGCTTCGATTTTTCGGTGATAGGAAATAATGTTACATTTTTCGATGCTTAGACTCATCAAATTTCTTGAGCACCAGTCAGCAAAAATACCTAACATATTCTGGAGTTCCTAACAGTCCGAGAGACTTTAACCAGGACCTATCATCAGATATTATCAAACAGGTCATACCGAACGCTCAGGGGAAAAGCTGTGTTATTATGCCGAAGGTCAGTAGGACGAATGGTCATTAGGCCAAAGTCCGGAAAATAATTTCTTAACACTTGTGAAGTAAATTTGCTGCTTTGGAAAAGCGAGGGAGGCGACTCTATTTAAGATGCAGGAAAAATTTTGCTTTGCTTTTTTGGGATGCACTCACGCTTAATAGATAGGAATACGATTGATGATGATTTTGAAGATTTCCTGCAAAAAGGTGGAGAGCGATGCGAGTAGATGGATTTAGATGCAAAAGATAAAAATAGATGTTTTGTAGATTGATTCGCTAGCATTAGATTTTTCGACCATTGAGATTTAGATGTGTCGCATCCCTCGAATAGAAGGATAAATAAGGCTATTCCATATTGGACTCAAGTCGCCAACCATTATTCCGTCTCATGTAAGAAAGAAGAAGAAGAAGAAGAAGAAGAAGAAGAAGAAGAAGAAGAATAATAATAATAATAATAATAATAATAATAATAATAATAATAATAATAATAATAATAATAATAATAATAATAAGAATAATAATAATAATAATAATAATAATAATAATAATAATAATAATAATAATAATAATAATAATAATAATAATAATAATAATAATAATAATAATAATAATAATAATAATAATAATAATAATAATAATAAGAAGAAGAAGAAGAAGAAGAAGAAGAAGAAGAAGAAGAAGAAGAAGAAGAAGAAGAAGAAGACAATATAAATTCAAGATATCTACTAGCTGGCAACACCTGGCAGACGGGGAGTCCCCAAGGAATTTTATTTTCCCTGGGAAAAATAACCTTGAATTCTCAGGAAATTTCATCACTACTCAGAGAATTTTTAAATTTTCTGACTAAGGATTTTTTTAAAGAATATAATACATTTGATTAAATGCAAACATTTAACTTTCCTCACTATTTTCATTCACTTATTGAACTTAATAGATCCTTAGCGAATTTGTGTTTAGTTACAAAATATTTTTAATTAGAAATTTTTAAAATCGGTTTCTTCACTGTAAACGAATTCTTATGAACTTTTCAAAGTGAGTAGACTTCCAAGGGAAAGAATAAAAATTCAATGGGCATTCTGAAATGAATTAATTGAAAATGCTTAGAATAATTCCAAAGTATTTTTTACTGAGGAGCATTTCAAGGTAATTCCGAGGAATATTCCGTGGGAATTGAATTCTTAGGATGATTCCTACAAAATTTCAAGGGAATTGCAATCATGTTTCGGTGATAATTTTTAGCGAATTCAAAGGAGAGTTCCAATCAAATTGTGAGGGAGGAGCATTTCAAAAACCAAGGTTGCAAAGACTCATTTCAGCTAAAACAATGTTTTTCTAAATTATGAAATAATTAGAGGTCATGATCAAATTTTGAATTGGTAGGATACAAGAAGAGGTTGCAAAGAATGTGTTTGACATATTAAACCTGTTTATTTCACTTCATGAGAGTCACAATCAGCGATTTTTCACAAACTCACTCACTCACTCACTCACTCACTCAGCGATCAGCAAATCGCTGATTGTGACTCATAGAAAGCAAAATTTACAGGTTTTATGTTTCCAACGCATACTTTGTAACCTCTTCTTGTAAGTTATACACAGCAAAAAAATAATTTTGATATCACATCAAAGTGGATGCACTACAATCATGTTGAAAATTTCATGTAATTTTTATGACCACATAAATAAACAAATGCAGTAAAAGCAGCGTAATGTCAGTTCATGCATTGTATTAATGATAATTTTGTCCTTTTTAGCAAGTAATATTACACCATATTTTCGACATGATTGTAGTGCATCCACTTTGACGTGATATCAAAATTATTTTTTTGCTGTGTAGGCAAAACATGCCATCATACCATCTTTTGGTTTTATTATTCCAAAAAACATTATTTTAGCTGAAATGAGTCTTTGCAACCTTGTCAAAAACTGGAACGTAATTCCTAGAAAAAAATCCATATGAATTTCTGGAGAACGCAAAGTGAATGCTGAGGAAACCGAAATTTACGAGGAATTCCTAAGTACTACCAACCGGTGGAAACTAACGATATTAAATTGGCTTTCTATTTGACTATTGGCCATAAGCAAAAAGATTAATGTAGCCCATTCTAGTCAAAAATCTAGTACTACACAATGTTTGTTTTGATTCGCTATGAAAGTTTGACAAATAAAATGAAGGGTTCGTAGATTTTCCTATGCTGAGCCAAAAAGTTGACCACGTTTCTTCGGGACCTTCTAGTCTTAGAGTTACCTCTATGGTATAACTATCTAATTTCGAACAGAACAGACAGAGAACCGATTGGAACTGTGATTAGTCAGTCGGAACGGGAAAACCCGTGAGAGGTGGCTCTGCGGAAATTCATATTCACCGGTAAAATAGTCTATTTCATAAAGGTAGACCTAGAGATCCGCGATTTTTTCATTGCATACAATAATAGCATAGCATAGCATAGCATAGCATATGCGATTGTACAAATCGTGGGTGGCTATATAATGGTCAACTAATACGTTTTGCAGAAAATATCGAGTGTTGACGCAGAAAATATCACTTGGGATTAGTGATTTTCCCCACACGAAAATAAAATCTACAATAGAAGCATCGCATTATACACCTGGCCACATCCTTACAATCGCAGGGGAAGGGAGGGAAAGTTAATCCAACATCTACTTAAGAAGGTGCAGGGAACCCATACTACCTTCATAGGTGTCACAGGAAGGAAAGAGTTGTGTTAGTGGGAGGGTGAATGATTTGGCAACTCTATTCGTCAATATAGAGCATTTGATAAATCAGTGACAAAAAATAAAATATAAATAGATAAAATGGAAAGATCTCACCCGATTGGCCTAGAGACTTTGCAGCGTCATGTATGCTTTATTTAATTTTCCTTGAACCACCGCAATCACTGATAACGCTCTTCTAGCTCGTACGTACAAAAGAACGCACTCCACGCATAATCAAGGTCATGTATTTTCGGACTGTCTTCTTTAACACCACAATTTTTTCATTGCATACAATAATGAGCATAAAGGAACGACAGTAGGCATTAGTGAGCTGATGCAAA